TCCTTTATCATTTTTTACCCCTAAAACAGGCAAGCTACTCAGCGAACCGTCAATATTAAATTAGAGGCAATTTTTATTAGTATGTTGGTCAGGGTTGTCAGCTTTCATTATTATCAAATTATCATATGACCCTTACATATGACTATATGGACCTTCCTTTGTGAAAATTTTAAAAATTGTTTAATTTGGTGACAAACTTTACATTGTGATTACCCAACATCTGATACATCTGTCTAGTTCTTAGTTTTCAACTTATCATTCATGAATTGTAGCATTGCAATTCTTAGAAAAATGGTACCCTTTCAGAAGAAAATCTTTTTTTTTGATGGTTTTTTTTTAACTAGGGTACTCTTAGGGGGTATTATTCTCTATTGATGTGAGAATCATTATTTGATTCCTGCTACTTGATATGTGCCTTTGCAATTCTTTTTAGGAATGAATTTGATTTTTAACATTGGGGGTAATTTTTCACTTTGTGAAACTTGACAATACCTCAAGGTTATTATGTGTGAATTTAAAATTATTTGGTTGGTGGTCTGAATGAACAATTAAATTTTGTGACCTGTCATATTTTTCCCCCGACCAAAAAAACATTTTTGGTTGTTTGAGAACATTCAACCATTTTACGTCATTAACCAGTCTGTTTATTAGATTACATTTATTAATTAAAGTTTTTAGAGTGCTTTTCCCTTTAATCTAAACTGCTGTAAACTTCTAATGTGACTGGAGTTTATAATTACAATGAAGTATAAACCAAAAATTTTTTAAAAACCCCCCCCCCCCCCCCCAAAACCCCTTTAAAATCACTACATAAAGGCTTGTATTTTTAGTATTTGGGGGGCTCTCCCCTTATTGCCCTTTGTGATAAAAAAATTTAGTAACACATGCTTTCTTTCCTATCATGCACACTGCTTTAAAAATTGACCAAAACTCTCCTAGTTTTCTCCAGGGTTAAATACAGGGGAACTAATTCTGGGAGTTTTTGGAAAAGACATCTTATTTCCTTTTATAGGTTGACTACTTTGGTTTCACCTTTTTGTAAAAATCAGGCTTTTAATAAATTTATTCAAAGCCTGACTTTTACAAGATAGATTTTTTCCTCTAATTCATAATACGGGTTTGGGATCATAATATCCATCTCTGTCTCATCTGCACAATTTCAAACAAATCCCCTTCATATTTTTTGTAATATAATTTGCATGAATCATACTATTCCCTAAAGCATCTAAATACAATTTTAAATCATCAGTATTCACAGTTCCTGATTCATTATCCAAACATTTATTGTATGCCTTCTTTGCATGCCCCTTTCTAGTTTTGTAATGATGTTTTTCTTTGCTCTAAATTCCATGGGCTTGTCATCTACAATAATTTCCTCATTTTCACCCATGGTGCAATATATTAAATTCAACTTAATTAATAACACTGATTATGTATTTAAATATGCACTTTATAATGGTAAATATTACAACTACCTTTGAATAAATCCTAGACAAACTTGACTTAGAAAAATTAATTTTGTAAAAAATAATATAAATCTTAGCTAGACTTGGCTTAGCAAAATTAATATTGTAGTAATTAATAATTCAATACACTTTAAAAGTAAATCTGTGGACCTAACATCCACCTCCTTCTGTCATGTCACTTAAAAATTATTAAGCAATTAATTCACTAATTAATGACTTCACAATTACATCCGGTTTGATAAAGGAACCAATGGGCAACTGTGGAATATTAAAATTACCTGGATGAATCTCATAAGAAAATACCAGTAATTGGTGACAATGATAATTATTCCTTATCAATTGTTATTGAGACATGGAGGAATTTTTGGACATTTTTGGTCGCAAAAAATGTCCACCTTCGAATACCCACTAATCTCATACCTCCCCAAGTCACTCTTAGACCTAATTTAATTTCAATGAAATAAATATCACCGGTTAATTCTGGTTAAAAACTATTTAAAATTAAATTTATGACTGTATGTTAAATTGAGTTAATGAATACATATACACAGTTATATATTAGAAAAGGGGAATTTATATTAATAACACTCACCAATTTCTCGGGAGATTACTTGGTATTTTCATCCACAAACCCCCCGCCTATAATATGAAGAAACTACGGGCCAGAAAATTTCAACATATAAAGACATTACTTATCTGGGGGGTGGTGTAATTCTTATTTTTTTTCCATCTTATTTCGGAGTTCTGTCCAGTCATTGGTGTCTCACATTCTGCAAGAAATGTAACTCCAACAATTTCTGCTCCTATTTGAGAGGTTTCAATCACCTTTTAAACCCCCAGAGCGACGAAAATTCTTCCCATTCACTATCATTCCTTCTAGCTCCCTTCAAAACATGGCATCTCTCCCAACCGACCCTTAACACTGTCGCTGGTTCCTTTTTATTTACAAATTATTTTTTATTAATTACAATGTATTTCACTAATTTACATGCAAAATACACTGTACTTTTGGAAAAATATACAATATTTTACACAAACCCTTCGCTATGCAGAGCATTTCGGGCAAATTAGGACAATTTTGTCCCCATGATGCGTCCCAAACCAGGCGACTAACACCAAGGTACACATTATTACTGATGGGTGAACATGGACAAATGGTACAAGGAAACACGCCCAATGTTTCCACCCCTTCACCGGGAATCGAACCCAGACCCTCACCGTGTGAGGTGAGAGTTTTGCCACCAGGCCACGGGGAAAAATTTCTTGAGAATGCTTAGCCTAAAATTTGTTTCAAATTTAAATTTAAAACAGCTGATACATCTTGTAAATATATTTTTTTCATTAGGCCTGTAGGTTAAAATTTTGTTACTTACTTAGAGTGCTATTAAACTTGAAATCATTGGGATGTTTCGGGTTTTTAATTTGCCAAAATTACAGCTTTGATTTCCATTGGAAGGAGAGAGGGAAGGGAGAAGAGAATGACACCATTAGGGAAGTGGCAATGCAACACTGATGGTAGAAGGCGAAGTTTATAAAGCTAGAATTATTTTCTGTGTGTTTTACCTCATCTTAGGAGTTGTTGGAACTGGTGGAGAGATATTTTAAACTGTCCTTGTTTTTTGTTGTTGGGTTTTACTAAACTGGTTTATAGCTGTATCTGAGTTCCTCTTTGGTGACTAACTCGGCGCTATTCCAGGCGAAGTTGCGGACGCTTTTGAGATTTTGAATTATAAATTCGCAGTTATTGTTGCGTGTTATGCATATTTATAATTGCTTCATCAGTGTTTCATGATCATATCTATGCTCTACACAAATAAAATTACCATTTCTTGTGTAATCAATCTTGACAAACACACGGACATCATGGCTGGGAGCAGCATCAGTACATCACATGCATACAGTATACCTGAACTCACTTATTTACCTGGAGTTTACCTGGAGAGAGTTCCGGGGGTCAACGCCCCCGCGGCCCGGTCTGAGACCAGGCCTCCTGGTGGATCAGAGCCTGATCAACCAGGCTGTTGCTGCTGGCTGCACGCAAACCAACATACGAGCCACAGCCCGGCTGATCCGGAACTGACTTTAGGTGCTTGTCCAGTGCCAGCTTGAAGACTGCCAGGGGTCTGTTGGTAATCCCCCTTATGTGTGCTGGGAGGCAGTTGAACAGTCTCGGGCCCCTGACACTTATTGTATGGTCTCTTAACGTGTAGTGACACCCCTGCTTTTCATTGGGGGGATGGTGCATCGTCTGCCAAGTCTTTTGCTTTCGTAGTGGGTGATTTTTTGTGTGCAAGTTCGGTATAGTCCCTCTAGGATTTTCCAGGTGTATATTTAAAATGTATCTCTCCCTCCTGCGTTCCAGGGAATACAGGTTTAGGAACCTCAAGCGCTCCCAATAATTGAGGTGTTTTATCTCCGTTATGCGCGCCGTGAAAGTTCTCTGTAATTTTCTAGGTCGGGAATTTCACCTGCCTTGAAAGGTGCTGTTAGTGTGCAGCAATATTCCAGCCTAGATAGAACAAGTGACCTGAAGAGTGTCATTTATGGGCTTGGCCTCCCTAGTTTTGAAGGTTCTCATTATCCATCCCGTCTTTTTCTAGCAGATGCGATTGATTTCAATTTTATGGTCCTTGAAGGTGAGATCCTCCGACATTTATCACTCCCAGGTCTTTGACGTTGGTGTTTTCGCTCTATTTTGTGGCCAAGAATTTGTTTTGTACTCTGATGAAGATTTAATTTCCTCATGTTTACCATATCTGAGTAATTGAAATTTCTCATCGTTGAACTTCATATTGTTTTCTGCAGCCCACTGAAAGATTTGGTTGATGTCTGCCTGGAGCTTTTCAGTGTCTGCAATGGAAGACACTGTCATGCAGATTCGGGTGTCATCTGCAAAGGAAGACACGGTGCTGTGGCTGACATCCTTGTCTATGTCGGATATAAGGATGAGGAACAAGATGGGAGCGAGTACTGTGCCTTGTGGAACAGAGCTTTTCACCGTAGCTGCCTCGGACTTTACTCTGTTGACGACTACTCTCTGTGTTCTGTTAGTGAGGAAATTATAGATCCATCGACCGACTTTTCCTGTTATTCCTTTAGCACGCATTTTGTGCGCTATTACGCCATGGTCACACTTGTCGAAGGCTTTTGCAAAGTCTGTATATATTACATCTGCATTCTTTTTGTCTTCTAGTGCATTTAGGACCTTGTCGTAGTGGTCCAATAGTTGAGACAGACAGGAGCGACCTGTTCTAAACCCATAACAACCAGCCTTACTGATGCACCAGTTTTTACTCATTTGCAAACTCACTAAAATCTCTGGAGGAACTCGTAGCATACCTCCCTCTTGTGCATTTTCATTCTCAATTTTACACTTTGATTATAGATGTTACAAAACTATGATTCTGCCTCTGTATTTGCTACCATGATTATTTCAAGTTATTTCTCATCTTCCATCTTCCCAGAATTTAATCATTTCTTGTTCATCTGCTAGCTACTGCTGTCTGTGGCGCTGATACACTACATACATTTCAGATGGCTTGATTACTTTTACGTGGTGCAGGACACTGAGTGTGATGGCTGGCTGCTTGATGTTGCTGGCGGTGGCCCTGGTGCTTGTGACTCTGTCTTACCCAACACCTGCTCAGTCACGTGAGTTGCTTAACAATCAGAATGTTCTTGAGACACTTATCATTGTGCTATATTAGGAAGAGCTTTTGTAATCAACTAATTGTAATTAGTTACTTGTAATTTCCTGGTTGCAGTTACCCACTTTTAAATAATTATATGTATTTACTAATTTGTATTTGTCTAGTTGTAAGTAACTGCTTGTAATTACCTAGTTGTAAAAGTTACTTACAATTTCCTACTCATAATTATTTACTTGTAGTTAACTATAATTATCTTGGTGTAATTATCCAATAGAAATTATATATTTACATTTAGTTTTTTATTTAGTTGTAATTACTTAGTTGCAATTATCTCTAATTGTAATTATCAACAACTGTCAGGGGTAAATAAGATTAAAATACAGTGGATACCTTTATTACCGACAAAGACAGGGGAGAGAGAGAGAGGGGGGTGAAGACCTGTCACACAAACTTTCTTAATATTACTTAAATACGAGGATTAGTGAGGATAAAAACTGTTCATTGACGAAGAACTACCTACAACACATTAGTACAAGTAAGCCAACTCCTCCACTGAAGTGAATATAAGCAATATCAGTGATATTTAAGTATGGTATGGTGAAGACATGGTGTGAGTGAGGGGACAGCGGCAGGCCTTAGGAGTGACGTCACTATTGCCTTCAGAGTGAGCATCTAATATTATATGTGTTTTGTGCTATGTACTAGCATCTGGTGCTTTATAACAACGTGACTGGTACAATGCAACATAGTGATTTGTGTAACATCTTCCTTTAGTAGAAAAGTGGATAGCATAAACAGTGTTTATTAAGTGATAGTGAGAAGGCACACTTTCCAGCTCGTCGGCCCACTGCCGCCCTCATACCCCCCCCGCTATAAACACCCCCCCCCACGATACTCTACCCCACCAACGATTCTCCACCCCACCCACGATACCACCACCCACCCTCTCTCTCCTGTGAACTTCATTGCAAACCTACAAGCCTCCTCTGAGATGACTTCACATCGCAAAATAGCAAGAATATCTATGCTATCTGGCTATTGTCCCAGTAGTTACTGCAGTGTTTGTGGGTATACCACAAGGGACAAAATTCTTCTTAGATGTAAGGAGCCTACTTGCTCCAACTACTGTTACACAGATTGCATTCCAGAAGAATTTTGTTGCAGCCAGGTTGAAAATTTCAGAAAATTGAAGGTTTATCCATAATTCTGTGGTATTGTGGATTACAAGCCTGGAGCTACGGGAGGAAGGTTCAGAAGTCCTACCTCAGGGACTCCTGTCCAAAGATCAAGACTGCCCTCTTGGGCTGTGTTGTAAAGTTGCAGCTAAGATAATCCATCACAGGGAAGCACTTCATGAGCTCCTCAAATCATTAGAAAACCCTACAAGTTTATTGTAGAAGGCCAGTGCAAGCCTACATAAAAGTGACGTAAGCTGCTCAGCTGATGGTGACACTATTGACAAAGACTGGAAGTCCCACACTGAGCTTAAACTCAGGGGTAAACAACCGGTGGAATTCTGTCATCGCTAAGGTCCCACAGACTGACAGAGTTCAAAACACTACCTTTTAGGAATTCTAACACAATTCCTCTGACCACCACAGAGGGAACAAATCCTCTTCCCAGCAACGAGGGAAGCCTAGGATCTGTTAATTCTCCTACACCCTGACATCTCTGCTTCAGCCACTGCCAGTCCATTTGGGACAGTGCACATACCATCTCTGATCCTACACCTGTCAGCACCCCTGCCGACACTATTCCAGAATCTGGTAGCAGTGCTTCATCAGCAATTTCTGAGCCAGGGAGTTTCTCCACCAGAGATTGGTGCAGTTAGTGATCGGGGAACTATCACTGCACCTGATCACCTACTGCACCAAAGTACGACAGCAGGGACACATCTGTCAGAACTGGTAGAGGACGGGGCAGAGGACGTGGAAGAGGACATGGAGGAGGAAGACATCTACAGCCATCTCACCCTCCACTAACACAGTTCCAGCGGCAGAATCTGAGGACAAATCTGCAAAAACACAGGAGGTGCAACAAATCCTAGCCCAACCCTCCCAGGCACCTAGGCTGTGCTCTCGCTGTCCCCGGAAGGGGCACACTGCCAACAACTGCCTGCGAGATACCAGGTGTAATTACTGCTACGAGAAAGGACATCAGGAGGACCAGTGTCGGAAGAAAAAGGAACTTGACAGAAAGGGCCACCTGTTTAGAGACCTGTTCTCAGAAAAAAACCAGCAGGATCTCTGAATTGGTGAAAAACTCTCACATGTACCCACTTAGCTACTTTCCTATCCCAGGGCCCCAAAAGGTGGATTGTGCCTTATTACAAGACCACAGACCTACATCCCTGCAGCTGCCTCAGTACCCTACCTCTCTCAAGGGCAGGCACCTTACATTCCCTACACACCCACCACCTCAAGCTGACCACTTCATAATGAGGAACCAGTCTATCAGCATCCTGTCGGCCAACATTAGAGGTTCCATTACTAATGTTGGAGAGCTCACACATAGTTTTGTGAACACTCGATGTCCCGACATGATAGCTGTTGTTGAAACATTTTTGGATGACAGGACTCCAGAAAATTTTGCAAGAATTGCTGGCTACACCTCATGGATGAGAAGAGACAGGCAAGGGCAAGGAGGAGGTGTTGTTGTGTGCTTCTCTAAAAGTGTTCATGCCCAGCACATTGATGTTGGCACCCCTACACATCTTGAAATGATGTACTTCAAGCTCTGTACAGACCTCAGTGGCAACATGCAGACCCCATCAACTTCCTAATGGAAAATATTGACTCCCTTCTGCTACAACACAACTGTCAACATATTATACAGAGGGACTTTGATGACCTTCTTGCAGTGTTTGACATGAGAAATTTTGTTGATTTTCCTACTCATATCTCTGGCTCCTCCCTTGACCCAGTAGTGAGTGATCTGGCAGAAGGCATAGTCACTTGTCAACCCCTCGGCTACGTTGGATCGTCTAACCACAAGGCTGTTTTTACGACACTTAAGATCCCAACAGAACGAGGTGAGGAGTCCACACGCACAACCTGGCTATGGGAAAGAGGTAACTGGCCAGCCCTTTGCTCTGAGCTCGTCACCCACCGATTGGAATGCTCTTCTCCAAGGGGATGTTGACAACCAAGTGAAAGCCTTCACTGGACACATCCTTAATCCACAACAAGAACACATTTCCCTTTCCGGCAAATATGTGACGAAGCCTAAGATCAGCCTTGGTTTTGGCTTTCATTGTAGAGAGGCTGCTACTGCTAAGTACAAAGCATGGCGAAGGTATAAGAGACATCCTACCACCTATAACAGAAACTTGCACACGCAAGCCTGTAGGCATATGGGTGATGTTCAAAAGTGGGCCATTGCTAAATGGGAGGTGAACACTAAAAGAAAGCTAGCATCAGGTAGGGTATGCTCCAAAACCCGGTGGTCCCTGGTCCAAAAGGGCAGACAAGGTTATCTGCCTGATGAACTTATTCCACCTCTAAATCAACAGGATGGGACCACCTCTACTAGTAGTCAAGAGAAGGCGGACCTCTTTTCTGAAAAACTTTGCTACCAAAATGCAAGTTCCTGATCCCGCAAGGGACCCTCCTTGGCTAGCTGCAAGAAAATGTGTCAAAACTGTCAGTGGTGACAATAAGGCAGGAGGAGTGCATTTCCTTCTTAAATCGCTTGACCAAGAAAAGGCTGTGGGCCCAGACAAGTTTAGCCCAAAATTGCTGAGAAGATGTGCAGACCAGCTAGCAGCACCTCTAACTCGCATCTTTTAGCACTGCTTAGTACAGTGTAAATGGCCCTCTCTATGGAAAGATGCAAATGTAGTCCCTGTTCACAAAAAGAAGAGCAGAGGGAGAAATCAGCAATACGACCAGTGTCACTCCTGTCAATCACTGATAAGATCCTTGAGGACAATAATCTCAAGACAAATGACAGAGTTTTTTTACTACCACTCATACTTTGTGATCGTCAATATGGCTTCAGGAAAGGTTACTCTGCTGCTGATCTGTTGTTAAACCTCCACTAAGTGGCACCAGTCACTGGATGAATCCAAAGTCAGCTGTGTGGTAAACACTGGACATTGCTGGCGCTTTCGACCGGGGTGTGGCACCAGGGCCTCTAGCAAAACTTCAAGCACTGGGAATTGCAGGCTCTACGCTATGTCTCCTCAGTGTTACCTTCATGGTAGATCTCTAAGTGTAGTTCTAAATGGAACGGAATCAGCAAGACATCCTAATTGGGGTAAAATGTTCCAAAAAAGGGGCGTGCTGGGGCCATTGTTTTTGGAATGTCTACTTCAAAAGACCTTCTTCATCTATCCCAGAATCACATGCATATGCAGACGACTGTACATGACATTCACTTATCCAAGAGAAGAAATGCCAGCTGCTCTAAGCTACATCAATCACCAGCTGAGAGCTATATCAGCTTGGGGAAATAGATGGCAAGTAAACATTTGCACCTGGGGAAAAAAGCAAATGATGATCGTCTTAGGCACCATGTGGTAATGCTGGTGCAGTTTGTAAGGACGAATGGGAGGGTGTTGGCACTGGAGAAGAAGTTGATATCCTTGGGGGTGAAATTTGACTCCAAACTACCATGAAGAACCATTTTTGTAAATCTTGCAAACAAGGCAGCCAGGAAGCTTACAGCCCCTTCGCCGTATCTCGCATCTGCTTGACAGTAGGGGTTGCAAGATCCTGTACCGGGCACAGGTACGCTCACACCTTGAGTATGCTCCACTTTCTTGGTTTGCCTGCCAACCCCTCTCATCTGCGACTGCTTGACAGAGTAGAGAACAGAGCAAGACGTTCATCTCTCGCTGGACCCATCCTGGATAGATCTGTCATTTCAGCAGAGCCTTCAACATAGGAGGATGTGGGTGGCCTTACTGTAATGTACAAAGCCAATATTGTCAAAATACCACACTTGGATCCATTCGAGGACAGCGTGGGAAAAAAGCTTTTAAAGCCACAAGACGGGCAGAAAGCAGCAACTTCACTCTGGCTGTACCCTTCTCCAGAACATCACTCAATCTGAGATCATACATACCCAGGATGACTCGAGTATGGAACATTTTCGTACAGCATAATGATGTCAACGAGATAAAGTCAGTTGATCAAATGAAAATGCTGGCCCACAGATGGCTTCAACTTCATCCTGTTCCCTACTTGTATGTCTCATAACAATAAAAATGCTTTCAAATGAGTTGATGTAGGTAACAGCTCTTAGCTTACCAATAAAGTTAGGAATTCTTAACCTGTAAATAGCTTGTCAATAAAGCTAGGGATCCTTAACCCTTGTCAAACCCTGTGTAAAAAAAAAAAAAAAAAAAAAAGTCACCCCTAAATCGTGGGGTTTATCTAATCAGTAAAAATACACGAAGCACGGATAAAGGAAAGCGAAGAGGAGGGGAGTATCTCTGGGTGAGGTAGATAAGAAAGATATTTTAACAAAAGTTAGTATTTTTATCCCGACGCAGGTTTCTCCTACTCAGCAAGTTTCATCAATTGAATACAGAGGTGATAAATATAAATATAACACAAGCAGTGGAGAAGCGAAGATGTGATCAGTCCATCAGCCTTGAAGTAAATTCAGGTGGTTAGTCCCTGAGTCTGAAAATGTGCTCAACTTTTTAGTTTTGAGCAGTGTAAAGCCGAAGTATGAGTAACAGTGTGACTTTGTCAATGGTCCAAGTCGGACCGAAACGTCGTCGTAAGCTTCTCTCTTTTATGTGCGGGTTATTTGTGTACCGAAGTATGAGAATGGAATGGTGGAATGGAATGGGATGAATGATGAAGTCTACTGTGTAGATGAAACGTTTTGTGATAAAAATACCTAATTGTTTCACTTGTGTTCAACTTATCTACTTGTCGGAATTGTAAACAATTTTTATATTGGTCTGGGGTGAGCCAGCACTGTAAGATCTATACTGGACATGTATTAACTCCTACACGCCTGTATAACTTGTAACAATGGTGGAAGCTAAAAGTTTAACTAACATGAAGCTGCACTTATTTTATGTAATTTATGATAGAAATAGTGACACAGGCCAAATTTAATCATGTTTTTCATTCTTTTATGACTAGTTTAGCATGTCTGTTTCATGATATGATTATCGGTCTCTTGATGTATAATACATTGTACTGTGCATTATAAGATGATTCATTCTGAATGATCATGTGACGTTAACTTTTCTTTGCAAGGAATGTTAGATATTCCTGTCTTTTTTCCTGCATCATGTTAGTTATGTGTGGCACTAGTCAGGACAGGTCCTTGATAGTGGTGGAAGTAATGATTGTGACAGTGATGACAGTAATGACTCGCCTGTTGACGAGAAAGTAATAACTTGAAAAATGATGTGCAGTTGGTCGCATGGATGAGACGATGGAATAGTAAATAGTATCTGGTTATGAACGAATATCTGTGTTGACTAAATTAATACTGTAACAGAGGCGAAGATTGGTAGATGAGTTACCGGGGTTTGATGTAATATTAGTTCCTTATGTTTTAGTTAAGGACCTTATGTACAATATGTACAGGTATATACACTGAGATGAGTAATCTTTCAGTGAATATGTACTGTGAGAGTTTACTTTAATGCATATTTTAGTGATGGAAGTGTCTCTAGCAACTTGTAAACAGATTACATGCGGCGGCCTAATGATCCTTGTTCAGTAGAGAGGCTTCAAACCCAAAGAAATATAATATATAATCTGAACTCATGATTAATTGGATGATTGCATAATGGAAAAACTAAACACGTTTCGCCCACACAGTAGGCTATATCAAGCCAAAACAAATCTACCTGGGTAAGGGTATATGTGTATATATAGGGTGGAGGATGCTGGTTAGGTTGCATTTAAGACGGACCTGCACAGGACGAGCGAGCGTGCATGTTGTTATGTAGGATAACGATGAAGAAGTTTCTTGCCAAGGGTTCCAGCTATGTTGTAAAAGCCTTTGTTTAGGTTGAAACTGTTAGATATACAGATAAGTGATGATTCCAAAATCCTCCGGTACCGAGCGTCTTCTCTGGCGATGAGTCTTGCGTCTCTGTAGTTGATTAAATGGTTGTGGAACTGTCGGCGTAGAACACAGGCACTCCCTAAGTCGTCCATTCTACCTGCGTACTGGTGTTCTGAAATAAGTGTTTGGAGGTCTCTGAATGTCTCTCTTACGTATAACTGGGCGCAAACGTTGCAAGGGATTATGTATACCTCTGCAGAGGATAGAACCTTGTGGTGTCTCTTACAGATAATGTCAATAAAGGATCACATTGTAATGCATATGTGTTAAATTTTTCCACCATTTTTATCTCCGTGATTTCATAATAAGTTTTTATTTTACTTTGATAATTTCTCTCTCTCTCTCTCTCTCTCTCTCTCTCTCTCTCTCTCTCTCTCTCCTCTCTGTTCTCTCTCTCACTAAGGTAAACGATGGGATTGACACACGACAACTATGAGAACATACACATGCAATACATATAACTAAAACATGTCTAAAGATCTCTGCCTTCTCGAGCCAACAAGTTGTTCCTCTAATAGAACACGTGATGTGTGTGTTGTGTGTGAGTGGTGTGTGTGGTGTGTGTGGTGTGTGTGTGTGTGTGTGTGTATGGTTGTGTGGTGTTATGTTGTATGTTTGGTGTGTGTGTGTGTATGTGTGTGTGTGTGGTGTGTGTGTGTGTGTGTGAGTGTGTGTGGTGGTGTGTGTGTGTTTATGTGTGTGGGTGTGGTGTGTGTGTGTGTTGTGTGGTGTTGTATGTTGTGTGTGGTGTGGTGTGTTGGTGGTGTTGTGTGTGTTGTTGTGTGTGGGTGTGTGTTAGTTACCATTTGTCCAGCACATTCGATTAACACTAGCCTGTTAGTAGGGTGTTAGGTTGTACTCACACTATTTTGGTTGCGGTTCCGAAGTCCCTAGCTCCTGGCCCCGCCTCTTCACACGGTTGCTACTAGGCCCTCTCTCTCTCTCTCCCCGCTCTCATGAAGCCTTTTCAAACCTCGTCTTAAAACTGGTATGGTTCCTGCCTCCACTACGTCATTTTCTAGGCTATCCACTGCCCTACAACTTCTATGAAAGAATAAATACTTCCTACTATCTCCCTGACTCATTTGTGTCTTCAACTTCCAATGTGGCCTCTTTGTTTCTGTGTCCCCCTCCCTGGAACATCCTGTCCCTTTCTTGATCCACCTGTCTATTCCACGCGTAGTTTTATATTCTGTTATCATGTCCCCTCCCCTGACCCTCCTGTCCTCCAGTGTCGTCAGGCCGATTTCCCTTAATCGTCTCATAGGACATTTCCCCTTAGCTCTGAACTAAACCTTGTCGCAACGCTTTGTACTTTCTCTAGTTGTCTTGACGTGCTTTAATCAATTGCGGTTCCAAACATGTGCTGCATCTCCTGTATGGGGCCTGACATACACGTGTACAGGTGTCCTTGAATGAATTCCTTACTAAGGTATCGGAAAGCTGTTTCTCAGGTTGCCAGGCCCCCCATTTCTGCAGCAGTTACTGATGATGTGTGGCTTCCGTAGCCATGCTCGTGTATACTCACGCCCAAGATCTTTCTCTCCTTGAGTGAGGTTTGCAGTCTTTGGCCACCTAGCCTATACCTGTCGGTGTCTTCTGTTGCCCTTCCCCTATCTTCATGACTTTGCATTTGGCAGATTAAATTCGAGAAGCCATTGTGACAGGTGTCCAGATCATGTCCAGGTCTTTTGAAGTCCTTCCTGCCATGGTCCTCATCAGATTTAATTCTCCTCATTAACTTCACATCATCTGGCAAACAGGGAACTTCTTATCCTAACCTTCCGTCAAAAGTCGTTTCACATATACCAAAAATAGCCTGGTCCTAGGACCTGACCCCCTGTGGGACCTGCCCGCTCGTTCACAAGTGTTCCCACAGTTATTACATCATTACGTACCATTACTCGTTCTGCCTCCCTGTCATGTATTCTCTGATCCATGCGTGCCCTTCTGTTATATGCGCCTTGATGCTCTTCTTCTGCAACTAATCTCATTGTGAAGGAACTGTGTCAAAGGAAAGGCCTTCTTGTGGCAGTCCAAGAAGATTCAATCACCCACACCTCTCTCTCTTGTCTTTACCTTCTGTTATTGTGTGTATGTGTGTGTGTGTGTGTGTGTGTTATGTTGTGTGTGTGGTGTGTTTAGTGTTGTGTGTTGTGTGGTGAGTGTGTGTGTGTGTGTGTGAGTGTGTTAGTGTGTGTTGTGTGTGGTGGTGTGTTGTGTGTGTTGTGTGTATGTGTGTGTGTGTGGTGTATGTGTGTGTGGTGTTGTTGTGTGGTGTGTGAGTGTATGTGTGTGTGTGTGATGTGTATGTGTGTGTGTGTGTGGTGTGTGAGTGGTGTTGTGTGGTGTGTGTGTGTGGTATTGTGTGTGTGTACTCACCTAGTTGAGGTTGCGGGGGTCGAGTCCGAAGCTCCTGGCCCGCCTCTTCACTGATCGCTACTCGGCCACCTCTCCCTGAACCGGTGAGCTTTATCATACCTCTGCTTAAAGCTATTGTATGCGATTCCTGCCTCCACTACATCGCTTCCCCAAACTATTCCACTTACTGACTACTTCTGTGGGCTGAAGAAAATATATCCTAACATCCCTGTGATTCATCTGTGTCTTCAGCTTCCAACTGTGTCCCGTTGTTACTGTGTCCAACCTCTGGAACATCCGTCTTTGTCCACCTTGTCAATTCTCTCCAGTAATTTTGTATGTCCGTTATCATGTCCCCCCTATCTCTCCTTCCTCCAGAGTCGTCATGTTGATTCCCTAAACCACTCCTCGTAAGGACAATACCTCTTTAGGCTCTGGGTACTAGTCTGTTGCAAACCTTTGGCACTTTGTGGAGAAATTTATCTTCCAGAGGGGGTATCAGCCCTCTTCAAGCCTCCTTCAGCCCCTTTCATGCCCGAGGGGCCAAGCCACACAGAAGGCGAGCGTCTTGTTTACTGCTATAGTTGATAATTTATCACAGAACCCCGTATGCGTGGTCAAATGACCTCTGCTACCTTGCAGTCCGGTGTTTCAACGTGTATTTTTATAAAGAGCAGTACATCTCTTACTAGCAGACAATTAAGAAAATCCTGCTCCCATATATATACTCATAAGTAAAAGATAGTTTACATTGTTGTTTATTGAATAAGACAGCAAGAAACAAACATCTGCTTTGCATCATGCGAGAGTTGACAATGATGCAAGGTAACTAGGTCAGCGTATTTGTTTGTGTATTAGGCAGTGAATGGCATGTATCGGTTGTGGACGACGCCAGATTACTTTTGCAGTCATCCTAGAGAGAGTCACACTGACGCCAATGATACACATAACAAAGAACATGATCTGTGCGTTAGATGTGAATAAAAGTGTCCTCGCAGAACACGATAAACATAAGAGAGGTGTGATCAGCTTCTCTTGTGAACATTGTGAACAATAAAAACAACTTTGTTGAACATAGTGTATCCAAGTGTGCGTTTCCTAACAATTGGAAGACTTGCATCCAAGGACACACTACCACTTCTATCAAGTCACCGATATCTGTCCGAAGGTGTTGAAGAACACCATAGCTCACGTTACA